AAGGTTGGGAACCACTGAGTTATAGACTCCATATCAGGAGGTGAACTGCTGTTTATGTATTACTCAAAAACTTCCAGGACTCAGGAGTTTATACTCTGAATGATAACATCTTCAGGAGGAAAACCAATTGAGAAAAATATTTCCACCTCAGAAAAAAGTTGCATCATATGATTCTGCTTTATGTGTGGTATGGCCAACAGTATCCTCTCTTGCTTTGATTATATCACTAGCATGATTGTTAGAAAGCTGGGGGGGGGGGGCTAGTAGAAGGAGGCACCATCTATTTTCTTGTGAAATGATCCTTTCCTGAGAAACACAAGGAAGCTTGCAGGGCTTAAAGAGCTAATCCCATACTGAACATCAGGTCCACAGAAAAATATCCCAGCTGTCTTTGCATACTGGGAGAAAAGGGAACAGCTTTATACTTGGTACTGGCCCATTTTGCCTAGTAGTTGAAGACAGTCCAAATGTACCCAAGGACATTTCCACAGTTACTCAGAAGCTAGTGGGGAAAGATATACCTGCATACCCCTGGGGCAAGTAGGGAGGAAGAAGCACACAGATGCTTGTGTAGATGTACTTGTTGAGATTTGTATTCCAACATTCCAAAAACCTCAAAACAGCAAGTGAGAGAACATTACATTTTCAACTTTGTTGAAATTTGCTTGATTTTCTTCCCCAATGGAGGTATTCATTGCTCTGTTTTTATCTTTGTTCAACAATTATTCCACAATTGTTTTCTGATACCTTGCTATTTTCATTTCCCTAAAACAGCATGTTTTGTGGATGTGCTTGTGGGATTTGACATCTCATCTCAGAAACCAGGGGATCACTTATTCAGTAACCAACAACTTTTGGAAACCTACCTTCCTGGTATAATAAAGAAGTTCACATCTTTAAGTTCTGTGAGTTGCAGTAAAGGAACAACGACACAGTTCAGTGTGGCCATTCAAATAGAAAATACAGATCAACCTCTCTTGGCAAGCCTTGAAGTTGACAATCAAAAAATCATAGAGAAACTCAGAAATGTTGTGATCAACAGCTCATCTCATCTCAATGTCAAGTTTTTGGACAGTCTTTGGAATTCATTTAAAGGTCTATCTGGTAATAAAAACCGAAGCAAGGTAATTTATTGCCATGCCTAACTGATTGTGTAATGATACTGCATATAATATTATACAACACATCTATCAGCCTAACTCTCAAGGATAGCTATTTAATCAACACAATCCTCAGCCTACAAAATATGGAAATGATTGAGGATTACATTAACTCTGACCTAGTTAGGGTTATTTTAATCTGACGTATTGATTGTATCCCTTGGCTAGAGGATGTTAAGATCTAGTATAACTTAGATCTCTCTTTCTTCCCTCCCTTCTTCACCCTTTTATTGTTCTTTTCTCTTTTTTCATCTGATTTCAGCTAGAAAGACAGTCAACCAGGCCATCAAATCTTTCTTCTGGGTAATCTGATGATAGAAGTGAGGACATAAACAGCTAGATAGACAGTTAAGGCTGCATTTTATTAGGAACTAACCATCTTCCACCACACATTGCT